TCTCTCTCTCTCTCTCTCTCTCTCTCTCTCTCTCTCTCTCTCTCTTTCTTTCTCTGTCTGTTTGCCGCTCTCCTTTCTTTCCTCGGGATACTCGCGTAGGCGCACAAACGGATTGACAAACGTGTCGTACGAACGAGCTCGACGGCCAACACGCCGAACGCTATAACACTTTTCCATGGCGAGGCGACGTAAATACTATCTGTAATTCCCGCGTCATTCATGCCCCGTAAGCTTTATGGGCCGCTTTATTATTGGGAGGCTCTAGCTCTCGAGCGCGCCACTCGCTCGCTTGCTCGCTCGGTTATTGCACGCTGGAAAAGCTCGAAATGGGGAAAGTAGAGAGGCGGAGAGAGAAGGAGAGAGATAGAGAGAGAATGTCCGAGAGGGGAAAATGTGCGTAAGGGTTTAATATCTTTCCTGCATATCAGAATTTACGATTGGATTTGACGTAAGCCCGCGTAGCGGAGTAAGCAAGATTTACAGTTTACTTAATGACTCGAGGTAGCCCCATGCACGATCCGGATCGGCACGCTCACCGTTTTTGTGAGGCTGCGGAGTCTAACACGGTTCAGATGTTCCCACGCCGAGCAAGCAGGTGTTGTGGTGAAACCGACGATTAATTATCCGCATCCCATTTGATAGTACGGCCGGGTTGATTAATCACGGCACGACGAGCGTAATAAGCGATAAAAAGTTTCATATCCACTCAGAATGCCACAATCAAAAATCTTCAAATTGATTTCGGGTAGAAATCATATCGGTCTCGCGGCCGATATGTAAATCGAGGACGCGCTGATAACCAAGAACATTCGGCGGGGAAAATGCCGAAAATGAATTCGGCGAGACGCTCGTCTCCTTTGTATGTGTGTGTGTGTGTTTTTAATATTTCACCTGTGTGTAATAAATGTTCGCTCGATCAAAAAAATCCGTTCCCGCGCGAATAAATTGGATGAAAACGAATGAGCTTCTCGGTCAGGCTCGCGGCTCACAATGATTAATGCCCACGCGTGTTTATACGCGTGCATTATTAATGGCATTTCGCGAGCCGCGGAGTCGCGTTACTTAAGCCGAAAAATTGCATTGCGTTACAGAATTGCGGACGTGCACGACACATGATGTGCAATTCATGCGGTCTGGAATATTAACACGCGCGCGTTGTGGGCATCTCGGGGGAAATCGCAAATCACGTAGCGGCGATACATTTTTACGGCCCGCGACAAATCACTCGTTACGAAAACTGAATAAGTTTCGAACGCGGGAGCGCCCCCCTTGCGAGCCGGTGCGCGCATTATTAAGCGTCTCGCGCGAAACGTTTCAGCGACGAATCGAGGAGGGTCAAGTACCTCATGCGTACGACCAACTACGAAATTAATCGCCGAAATTAATTGCGAAATTATTTTCTTCGTTCGCCAGCCAGGAGTCGGAGGCCCTCCCTCCTCCCCTCGAAAAGGAAAAGTAACTTCCCCGAAGGAACTGCGCCAAAATTTAATACCGTCGGGAAACGTACGTGCTAACGCGTACTTAATATCCCGGCCCGCGATATAAGCCGGCACGTTATTAAGCTCCGAGAATATTTTGGGGCAGTTCCCATCTCAGGCTGAAAAATAATAATATCCGATAAAATGGGGAAGGGTGCATTTCATTACGAACTCGTCTGCGGCGGCACGAATTCACTGGGATTAGGAGTATCTGCGGTATCGGGGAATTAATTATGAAGCGAAAGAGCCACGGCCGAAGAAAGCGCCGTGATATATTTACTACCGGCGGCATGAGCTTTAATTTGTTTAACAACTCTTGTAATCACGATTCTCAATTACGTGCTCGTTATCGACTTTTACGGATGAGCCTTCGCTATACATGCCACTTTGCAGAGAAGTTTCTCTCCTCCCCTGCCGCCTCCCTTTTTTCGCTCTTTCTTCGCTCGGAGGGTGAGGTAAGACACTTATAATATTCAGCATGAGATTACCGTATCTCCTCGAAACACTACTAGTTAAAGCGTACACGAAACTCGATATCGTGTTAAATATTAGAATTATTTCGCAGCGAGACGCGTTCCGCTCGTAATAAAAAGAACACAAGAGAAAAGCAGATGAAAAGCTCGTTAATTAGACATCACGTGTTCGTAGATTGAAAAAGCAGGTGTTACAAATGAAACTAATGAAACTAATGAACATTCCTTTCACCTACAATGAGTCTATGATTCAAAGATACGCAGAGATTATTTTTTTTCGCAAGCGTCAGCAATCCGCGATCGCCGATTTCGCGACTCGGCTATCTTTCATTCGGTTCTGTCGTTTTGAACGGGAGAACCATGGAAAAATGTCACGACGACTGACTCTCTCCTCAGGACATAAAGGATCGACGGATTGCAAGTATAGCCGCGTTTAAGTTCAAGAGTAATGACACGTAGTATGGCGTCAAGTGCCACTCAATTACACCAGTGACGTCGCGTTAAACGCTCGATGAAGAATTCACCTGCACCGTGTACGTTTCGTAAACTCGGGGGCGAGGGCTCTCGCCTCCCCGTGAATCGACGCGACGCGCGGACTCTATAAAAGCATCGTGTAAACACGGAGCAATCTCTAACGCGAGTCGATAAAGCCCTATTTTAAGTGCGACGCGCGCCAAAGAGAATGCATATTTAATCAGCCCAACGGACTGTATATCGTAAAACGGCCGGTATAGCCGGTATTAAACAGCTGACCCGAGAAATCCCATGAACCAGGAACGTTGCTTCGGCAAGCATCGCGCTTCCAGCTGACTTATCGCACGGACGCGTGTGACTCATGGTCGACGTGGTATATCGTATTCAGGGCTAGTATACACGGGGAGGAGGTAGAACAGCCGGAGGAAGGGGGTGGTCGTATACTTACACCGAGCGACGTGAAGTGTCGGTACGTTCTCTCGGACCTGTGCACATCGACCCGATCCACCGCGATTTCCTCGTGCGCCTCACACTTGCCGATCACCCCGCGATCCCCCGCGACGCGGACGCCGATGAACCTGTCCGAGTGGTAGACATCCGTCGGCGATCAGGCGGAGAACACGTACACGTTCCACGGCGCACTGGGCCCGTACTAACGAGAGACTCTCTCCCGAATCACCGTCGCCGATCCACGTGACTCGCCATGAAGACACCTCTCGAATTGCCGGGACGTGTCCGGCGTGTTGCGCTCGTATCCATCAATCGTAAATTCACCCGCTCCTGGACGGTTCCGCACTGATCGCCGCGTGCTTGCGTGCGTGCGTGCGTGCGTGCGTGCGTGTCTGCTGCTGCCCGCCTCCGCCTGCGTGCGTGACTGCGTGCGTGTGTTCGTACATGCGTACGTATAGTCGCGTGCGGAGGGGGTTGCGTCGCGACAGCCGAACGCGAGTGGAGAAAAAAAAAAGTTTAAGGAGGCGGCGTTCTCTCGTCGGGTGAAGGGACACACGGTGGAGTTTACAGGTAGGGAGGAGAGATAACAGACGACAGGCGAAAAGGAGGGACAGAGAAAGACAGCGGGGACAGATGAAAAACGGGATAGCACAGCCGGCGGAAAGAGGAGTGAGAGAAAAAGAGAAAGACAGACAGAGAGACAGAGAAGGAGAAAAAAGGAGAGAAGGAGAGAGAGAGAGAGAGAGAGAGAGAGAGAGAGAGAGAGAGAGAGAGGAGGAACGAAAGAACGCGGTCGCTCCCAGAGATTTCGAACTGCACTGCAAACGGGGACCACAGTCCTTACTGAGCCGGAGTTTGACTACGTACTCGCGGCTGAGAGACTTTGGGGTCTGCGCAGTTGGTCGCTCACCACCACCATCGCCAGTACTTCCACCACCATCACCGCCGTCGCCGCCGCCGCCGCCGCCTCCACCACCACCACCGCCGCCGCCGCCGCCGCCGTTGCTGGCCGTCGCCACCACCGCTTTAACCCCAAACCTCCATGGCACCTCTCGACGCCAACCCTAACCTGCTCCACCCGGCAGCGCCCTAACTCGGCCGCATGGAGAACGCTGCCTGGGGTCACGCGTGAGTCGTGATTCTTCTTCATATTCGCGTCCGAAATTCGCGTCGGCCCGGTTCCCGGGCGAGTCTCCGAGGATTAAGTCGTGGATTACACCAGACACGGGGTCTGGTGCGCGCCCGCGGAGCGTCGAGGAGGAGCCGCGCGCTCTGTGGGGTTGAATAGGGTCGGGCCGTAACCGGTATCGGCTTTAGTGTATAATAGGAATCGTAATTACCTCTCTCTCTCTCTTACAACGAGTATTCACCACCCCCCCCTCCTCCTCCCCTCGCTCTCTCCTCCCCCTCTTCCTCGGAAATGTTTCCCGCTGCCGGCGATATAATACGGTATTCCCGGGGTAAATGCCGTGGAGCGCGTCGTAAGCGGCGCACGTAAGGGGCGTTAACAAAAAAGCTCGTATAATCGTACTTTGCCGTAAATTAATTAAAAATGGCCCGTAGTGTCCGCCCGCTTGCGTCCCGCAATTACGTTTGTTTAATTAATTAAGCGAACGTACAGGGCGCGAACAGTCGCGGTTGCGGCTTACGCGCGATCGTCGCGGAATAATAATTAAAAATTACGGTGCGTAGATACGGTTTTTAGGAATTCGTTTTGCTTTTTGCCAGCTGTAATTTTTAATTATCGCGCGCGGCGCTAAGCCCCGTCCCCGCGCGGTGCCCCCGCCGGGCCGGCCGCGCAGCTTTTAATCTAGCCAGCGCGATGCGATAATGATGGTATTAATTACAATGAGGTAATTCCGACAAACATCTATGTCCACATCGAGTCTCGCGCGCGTGCGGGGACAAGAGCGCGTTCGGAAAAACAAAGTCGCGTTCGGAGATCCGAATTGCGCGGCAGGATAGAGCACTGTTACGATAAATGCGTGTTTAAGAGTGTCATCTCAAATAGCGGCTATTATACGCAATACTTTCTGTTTTCTCTCCCGCGGGGAATTTGCATCCCTGCAAATCGTAACGTTACAACGTAACGTTGTCGATGTGAATGGCATCTTCACGAAAATTCGAGTCAAAGGCCCTGCGGTTTCTTCCCCCTCCCTCTCCCGCGAGAACGCAATCGAAGAGTCGCATTTGGGCGCGGAAAAATTCGGATCGAATGTCCTCGACTCAAATGGCTCGAGTCTGGCTTTCAAGGCATCTCCGCTACTAAATCCGTTTTGTCCGCGTACGAACTGTTCTATAATTGTCGCATCGCGCGATATTAATGACACGTGCAGAACTTTTGTATTACCGCGAGGGAAAACGTTAAGAGCGCGCGCGAGCGAGCGAGCGAGCCACCGACTTGGCGACTCGGAAAAGTTCCCCGTCAGGAACAAAAAGAATCTTGTCCAAAGTCACGTTGGCTAAAGTTCGTTGCACCGTACATGTTGTCCCCGCGCATTCTACGGCACACTGGAGCGTTGCCAAAGTCATTCTCACATAATTCTAAGAGAATATAAGGCTCGCGAAATAGATGAGGCTTCTTGTGTGCGCGATGTATCCGCGCAAGCATCGGAACGCGTCCGTCACGGAAATATCCGCGATATTTACTCTAAATACCGTTGATGGTATTCCGCGTCTCCGCTGTTTTCGCGCTGTACGTCGACGTTAAAAATAATATCACCGAGTGAAGTGGCGGAGCGCGGTCGTCTGAACGAGCAAACAATACCACCGCAGCTTATTATCGCTGCCGACAGACAATTTAGTTCGCGTGTTCTCTTAGTAAACAATTGATTGATTATTAGTCTGCAACGTGGAATACGCGTCGCGAAAAAATCCACTTCCGATTTTCCCCTGGTTTTTTTCTTTTTTTTTTTTTCTTCTTTTTTTACAGATTCGTTGCGTGCGCGAGAGAGGAAGGGAGAATCTCTTCGAGAGGCGTCTCATCGCCATCTACGGTGCATCTTTGCAACTAAATATTTCGCTATTGGTCGATAAAACAAATCGGAGAATTTATGCGATGCGTGCGAGACATTTGTTATTACATTACGCCACGTTTATCAGCGATCTAGAAAGATCGCTGTCAAGAATCCATTTGAAAAATTACAACATTTGGCATACATTCACATACAGGATTATATAATATATTAACATTCTGAGAGAACGCTTTGCTAAACGTATTTATAGTATTCTAAGATATTTAGATCACACAAAGACATTTTTTTCTCTCTCCTTCTCTCTCCCTTTCTTTCTCTCTTCCGACATGCGTTTTATGGAGAAATAAGACAAGATAGGGAAGCGAGGCTTCGCGTAATCTGTGTCATTGCTACGCATTATCTCATAATAGATCTCTTTTTTAGCTAAACTTCCTATATTTTCCTACACTTTTTTCTCCCTTGTCTCTTCAAAGGAGGCATATATTTACTTAAGCGCGGAGCATATAAAAAGGTGTAGCTGAAAAAAAGGAGAAAAAACTTGTAAAGTCTCGCGCGACCGTTATCCTAGGTCAGTTGTCAGAAAATTATGCAAGAGCGATTGTTTCAGATCCGGTCAGAGGAAGATAGTACGCGTCAATCGCGTAAGTTGCCGTTGTATCGTTAATGAGCTTGGGAGACGTCGTATGCTAATAAGTGCTCCTCTCTCTTTCTTTCTCTTTGTCTGTCTCACTCACTCATTCTCACTCTCTCTTGCTGCCTCGTTGTTGAGAGATAGCGAACTTTGAGCCAAGTTAAATTAATATTTATCGTGCGTCCGGCGAATATCTAATAACGCAACGAGGCGCAACGCAGTTTTAAATTTGCCACGTGCGCAAGTATATCTGACGGAAGATCTTCATATAAAGTATCTATTTAACCGTAATGTAAGATTTATGGAGAGTTACAAGTAACGGCATACAAATTGATATTAAAGCTCTGCCCGTGGCGTATACATGAGAATTGCGCCGAATATAGTCGCAAATACATAAATAAAGATCACCCGCGAGAGACAGTCGTGAGCCTTGACGCGTACGGCGGCGCATTGTGAACAAACACGATAATATGAGAGCAAAACGATACGCGCAAGTGAAAAATACGTGTACGTATACAATAACGCCGGGTATAAAGTAGCATTACGGTCATACGGTTGCGCGCTCATAACTACGTGCACGTCGCGGCGAGATATTTTAAATACTCCTTTCCAAACACACACGTGGATGCACAGCTACAGCGAGTACCGTCATCCTCTACACGAATCAATACCAATATCAAACGTCCTCTCCCGCCCCCTCTTCTCTCTCTTTATAAATACATTCTGAAATAATAACGCAATTATATAATTAAAACAGTATAAATAATTGTTACTTGATTTGTAGTCGCGTACACGACTCGGCCGGTAGAGCCATGTGTTCTAGATTGAAATATAAAAAAGGAAAAAAAAAACGCGTGATATTTTATTCCACGTAGACGCGTCACGTTTCGCCGGTCGGAAATTCGGCCAAAAAACGGCCAGAAATTCGACGGCTATTGGAATGAAAATAATAGCGCGTTAGTATTAAGCAAGGGAGAAAGAATCGAGGTTTCCATTCGCCCGCTATTTACGCGGAAAAATACGGCCAACTAACCGTTCCGCCGGTGTATTTACGTGCGATTCCAGGCTTGCCGATGGAAAATTAAGTCCCGTTAATCTCCGGGGGGTGTACATTTTCGACCGCTTGGAAGCCCGCGTCAAAGCGCCGGGACGTTACGTTCCATTAAATTTGAACCCCCGTCGTTATTTTAATCCTCTCGTTATACACGATGCTCGAGAAAGAAGGAGAGGAAGAAAGGAATGATGGAGCGAGAGAGAGAGAGAGAGACAGAAAGAAAGAAGGATAGGAAGACCGAAAAAGGTGGAAAAGCGGAGGTAAATCCGCGGCACGCTCCGCAGAGGGAAATTAATCCCGAGACGATAATTCAGCGGTGCGTTATCGGGAAGGCTAACGTCAATCGCAAAGTTAATCGATGCTCTCCTCATTCGTCGCGGCAGCGATACGAGAGTGGGGCTGGCAGGTCGTCGGTCCCAGTCAAGATCACGGGATCACCCTATTCTCCGCGTCTCGCAATATACATTCGCGCGCGCGCGCGACCTCCGACCGCCGGTTCCTACTGAATGCGATTCTTCGAAACGCGAGGACGTTGTTGCACTCCGCCTCGTTCAATCACGCACTGACTGCATGAACAAACATCGGCCAAACGTACGAGAATGACACGTACCATATCCGACCCATATCGATTTCCCATTGTCCTCTTCAGATCCGAATACATACGTAGTAGCATTCGGCACTGCAACACGGGTGCGAATGCCACATGCGAGTACCTGCCAGGGCAAACTGCGGCTGTGGGTCAAAAAGCGCCAGGCTTTGTGATCGTTGTTGCGCAATGTGTCAACGGCAGTAGTAGGAAGAGCGACTCGTTATCGGAAATATAAAATAATGTTTCGACCAGAATTCGTTCGGCCGTTCGAAACGACGCGGTAATAATCGGAGGGAAACGCGAGAGATTGCGAATCGTGTCCTCAAAATACATTCAAAATGAATCAACCGTCAAATAATATATATGATTAAAGAAAAAGTTGTAAGATTAACACTGATCTGTCTCGTGTAAGCTACCACTTACAATGAAAAATTGCAATTGAAAAAATTCTCATAAAAAAGATCAATAAGTCACCTTGGATTTTTTAAATAATATTATGCTATTTTTTTTCACAATTGTAAGCGACATTTTTTTCACAATATCGGTAATAAATTTTGGTAATAAATTGGAATTTTTTTCACAGTATTGGTAATAAATACCAATTTGATTGATAT